TTGGGATACCAGCTGTGGTGCCCCCTTCTCCCTCCCAGGAGAAGTCGATGTTATCTCGCTTACTCATGTATTCACTTATTTTTTGGTGGTGCTGGGGATTGAACCCATGGTGTTGTGCATGTGAGGCAAGCACTCTCCAACTGAGCGACATCCCCAACCCCAATGTTACCCTTTTAAAAAACCGTGCTTTATGTGCTTGCCTGGGTGTGCCGTGTGCTTCTCTAATGTTCAACCTTCAACACGTGAGGGAGCAGAACTGGTCACTGATGACTGGTGGTATCACTCCACACTCACCAGCTTTATCCCCTTCCCCTCTCTTGCTAAGGTCACCCCTGGTCTCCTTATGATACTGGTGCTCCCTCAAATGTTGACCGTTAGAGAAGCAAGCGGAGGCAAGCAGGGTTTATTGAAAAAGGGGAAAGAAAGACTTCTCCTGGAAGGGAGAAGGGGGCCATAGCTGGTATCCTGGTATCCAAAGATGCCAGGGGTTCTGCCCTTTTTATGTGTCCTGGGCTTCTTTTGTTTTCCTGCCTTCTTCCCCTTATCTTTCTGCTTCTAGAATATGTGACTAGGCCCAGGACTGCTCAACTGGATGGCCCAAAGGTGGGAAACAGGTGGGCTGAAGGGGGAAGGGCAGGATGGAGCAGCCAGGATACATTAACAACCTTAAAGCTCCCTGTAAGGAGGGGCAATTCCTGGGACAGGTTACCTTGGCAACAGGTTGGAGCAGGGGGAGGTTCTTGATAAAAGTGGAGAAAGGGGTCTGAAGGAATTAACATTTCAATCCCTCAAGGGACAGTCTCCAATTTGCTGGACTCACTCAAAACTGGCCTGACCCCATGGATCTATATACTGACTGCCTGTGGAATTCTGGCTTCACTTACATCCAGGGGGTTCCATCATCAGTATACTGGATCTCTAAGCACACACTGCCCACTCTCTCTCCTCCTCAAAGCTTGCCCTGTGTGATGCCGTTAAAGGGTCTGACCTTCTAGAAACTGAGGAAGCACAAAAGCCCCCTTTAAATCCCAATTCTTGCAACAGAGTCAGAAAGATTTCAGACATGTCACTCAAGAGTTCCAAGGATAGGTTTATTAGAAGGGATGGAAAAGGGGAAAGAGGAGAGGGGACACTCTCAAGGGAGAGAGGAGGGGGACAGCATGCCCCTACTGCCCTCCAGATTTACTGGGGTCCTCAGGGAAGTTTCCAGAGATTTCTACCCAGGTCTACCTCTTGACTTTAGACTGACAGCATCGAGACATTAGACTTTCAAGTCCCAACTGCCATGACAATTCTAGGTCATTTTGGCCCATGCTGACTGGTTATAATTGGAACCTGTTTTTACAGATTTTATGGTCAGGGGGTTTTATCCTTACCTCCTTGAGTTCTGAGATTTGGTTTGAGTGAGCATCACAAAAATCAGGATAACCTGTATTCTTCTTATCAGTGTTATTTTGGAGCTGCTTTTCCACTGCAGATAACACAGTTTGCTGAGGATTGTAACATATCCTGTGGACTTAAGCCAGGAAGGGCGGCAGACATATTGTTTTCATAAAAGTGAAAGCATGTGGGGGTCAGCACAGTGGGCCTGGTTCATAGAATTATTCCCTTAACCTCATGTTCCCACCACTCACGTCTGTCTGTCACTTAATCAACATCAACTGCTCCTGATCTGCCATTGAGCTACCACTAGCTCCTTCTCTGCCTAGTGTTATTCAGTTGGTGTGGTGCATGGTTGGGAGGCCTCCCACCTCAGTCTCCTGGAGGCCCTGCTCCAATCCCTAACTTCCCTCTCTGGTCCTGTCTCCACCTGTTTGTCTATGACATGGCTTCCCATCTGCAGCCAGGGCTCCCCGAGAGTCCCATACACTCAACATCTCCTTTGCATGCCCCATGAACACCTCCAGGATCTCTTCCATGTCCCCATCTTCCTGGAAACCTCAAAATGTCTCTAACTTGTTCAAGGCAAAAAACATGGGATACACTCCTCAGCCCTCTCTACCTACCCCCACATCCAATCTACCACCAACTCTGATGCTTCTAGTTCCAAAGGGTTTCTGGTTCCACTTTTCTCATCATCAAGGCCCCCTGTTTTGTTCCAGTCACTTTCATCTCTCACCTAGACAATCCCATTTGTCTCCTGTCTCCAATCCACTCTCCAGGAAACCACTGGAGAGAACCTTTAGAAAGGTTATGGGGGCGGGGGAGGGGTGATTTAAATTAAAAAAAAAAATCATTTTCACATCTTAATAGACATACCTAGTATGCACAAGGTCCTGGTTCAATCCCCAGTATTGGGGATTTGGGGAGTAAGCCTAACATTTTAATAGAGGAATTATCCACAAGTAATGAGATTTTAGAAGTACAAAGGTACACAGTTCTCCTTCCTCCCCCTTTTCCTCAGCTTGAGACTTCTTCTCCTTATAGGCAACCATTAGAAGTTCCTTATTTGTAAGAATTTAAGAATCCAATTAGACCCAGCCAGCATGGACCAAAGTGACCTAGAATTGTCATGATAGTGGAACTTGAAAGTCTGATGTCATCTGGCTATCAATCAAAAGTCAAGAGGTGGACCTGGCAAAGATTATCTGGGAATTTCTCTGGGATTCCCAGTAAAACTGGAGTGCAAGAGAGGCACACTGTCCCTCTCCTCTCTGAGAGGATCCATGCTCTCTCTTGAGAGTGTCCCCTTTCCCTTTTCCTATTCCTTCAAGAAACTCATGCCTGTTACTCTGGGGGAAAAAAAAATTCCTTGCTTTTCCTTCTAAAAATATTCCATACAAGTTGGGAGTGGTGGTACATGCTTAAAACCCCAGCTACTTGGGAGTTTGTAACAGGATAATCACAAATTCAAGGCCAGCCTGGCATTTTAGAAAGATCCTGTATCAAAATAAAAAATAAAAGGACTAGGGATGTAGCTCAGTGGTAGAACACCACTGGGTTCAATTCCCAGTAACATTTAAAGAACAGAAAAAGAAAAAGAAAAGAAAATATTAAACTCAGGCACTGGACCACTGAGCCATATATATATATATATATATATATATAGTTTACTTTTTATTTTTTGTATTTTATTGAGACACAGGGTCTCACTGAGCTTCTTAGTGCTGAGGCTGGCTTTGAATTCGGGATTCTACTGTCCTGGTCTCCCAAGCCACTGGGATCACAGGTGTGCGCCACTGGCACCCAGAGACAGGTATAGTTGTATAAACTGTTAGACATACTTTTATCTCAAAGGCAAATCAGTTCTTCTTTACAAAAGATAAACTAATTTGTTAATACGGTTGCAATTTTTTAAAAATTTTATTTTGTACTGGGGAATGAACCCAGGGGCTCTTTACACTAAGCTACATCCCAGTTCTTTTTATTTTGAGACAGGGTCTCACTAAGTTGCTGAGACTGGCCTCAAACTTTTAATTCTGCCTCAATCTCCTGAGTTACTGTGATTACAGGCATGTGCCATCACACCCAGCCTGTGGTTACAGATATTAAAGGAAAATGTTCAGTTATTGTTAAACTAAATTTAGAGTAACTTGAAAATGTAAATTCTTACCAATATTTATTTATTTTTGTTTGTTTATTTATTTTTGGCAGCGTTGCAGATTGAAACCAGGGTGTTACCCATGCTATGCAAGCTCTGTACTACTTCATTACATTCCCAGCCCCTGGTGTGAGAATCTGCAGTACTTTTTTCACATGATGCCCAGGAAAATCATTAACTGTCATTATATATTATAAAGGTAAGTCCTATATAATGGTTGAGTTGCTACTGCTCCCTGGATGGGACACCACTTGGGCTGGGTCCAAGAATGTTCCCTGTACCAGTCACTACTTTTCAGTAGGACTGCTCTCTCTTTTGAGGTGCCTGTCTCACACTCCTTGTGCCTAAAGTGGTTTTATTTCTCTCTGATTTTTGTTCTCTCAGAGAATGAAGAAGCCATCTCTTGTTTCTGCTTAATAACAGCTGAGCAATGAAATGCCAGTGGTGGGCTTTGAGGCTCCAGTAACGGGTTCTGTGGAGCTGAGACTCTCTGGTGCCCTCGGCGCCTATGGAAGCCTCTACTAGGTGGAGAACAGAGGGCAAATAGGAAAGGAAAGAAAACCTTGTGCCCTTTTGTTTAATGACCCAATAGGATAGGGCTTTTGACCCCAGCTTTCAGAGGCATCTGGTGTGCTGCATGAGATCCTCTGGGGTGACTGGCTTAGGCTTGGGCTAGATAAACGCTGGTGGTTGCTAATGATATGAAGCCTCACGGCTTTTCCTATTCACTTGAGGAATTAAGTGGTTATTTGGACACTGAGCTCCCGGACTCTTCACTGCCTTATAAACTCCCCCAGGCCATTCTGCACACCTGAAGTCTCCCAGCACCCCATAGGAGACTGAGTCGCTGGCCAACAAGGACGAGAAGAGAAGTCAGGCCAGGAAAAGCAGCATGCAGGGTCCGGACAGGGGGCTGGGCACCACAGTGAGCCCTTCTCAGAGGAGCTTTAGCGGGTGGGGGGACTCCTTAAGCTTCAGTGTGCTTTGAAGGTGTCTTTATTTCTGGGAAATTTTCCTCCGTCAGGAAAGGGCAGCCCTGCCTGGGCAGGCGAGCGGGCACAGGAAGCCCTTGAGGGAGCAGGGCAGTCCTCAGCCAGCGGAGAAGAACCGGGAAACTCCATCTCCCAGCCAGGGAGAGGTGGGACCAGGGACTGCAGGGCACCCAGCGCTCCGCGGCCCCGCTGGCGGGAATGAGCCGCCAGCGCGGCCAAGGTCAGGGTCAGGGCTGACCCCAGGAGGAGGGCGCCCGCCCGCCCGCGTCGGGGCGTCGGGGCGTCGGGGCGCCGGGGCGGGGCGGGGCCTGGAGGTGGGGCCGCGGGGGCGGGGGCGTGGAAGGGCCGGGGCAGAGGCCGGGGAGGGGCGGACAGCGCGCCAGGTCTGCGCCGCGGAAGGGTGGCAGAGACGCCGAAGGCTCGCGAGGAGGTGAGGAGGGGAGAGCCGTCGGGGGAGGCGGCTGGACGGGCCGAGTGGGCGAAGGAGCGGCCCCAAGGCCACGTGTGTGCGCGCCTGCTCCAAGGCGGCCCCCTGGAGCCTCTTCACCGAGGGGTCTCGGGCCCCAGTTTCCGCCTCTGTGGCTTTCCGGCCCCAGACCACCTCTCCAGGCAGGGTTGACCCCGAGGGTCGCCCCTCTGGCGGCCCGGATCAGGGGTTGAGGTAGGGATCGGAAGGTCTGGGAGGGAGGACTTAGGGAGACCCCAGGAAAGAGGCAAAGGAGGGAGAACCTGCTTGAAGCAAGAGAGCGGAGGGCCGGGCCGAGGTGGAGACCCCCGTTTCTGGGGACAGCGGTGGGGCCGTGGGCAGCGGCAGCCCCAGTGCTGGGAGGGTTAAGCATCCCGAGTCCCGCCCGCCCTGGGCCCTCCCACGTGTTTACGTTCTCCCAAAAATATTCAGCCTCTGGCGGGTCTCGGTGGGGAGCTCCAGTCCCTGCCCCTCCCCCGCTGTTGGCCTGGGACGCGGGGCGGGGCGGCGACCTTTGGCAGCCGGGAGATTCCAGGCTGGGAGCGGGAGGAAGAAGGGTCTGTCGGGGACAGCCTGGGGACAGCCTGGACAGCGGGGAGGGGAGGGGGTGGATAGAAAGGGCGCTGAAGGGTGGCTGTGGCCACAGGACTGCTTCCCAGGCTGCTGGCCAGGGAACCCTGGTAAAACGTTACAGGCCCCGACAAAGGTGCGCAGCAGGGTGGGAGGCACCTGGTGGACACCAGGGGCGACTCAGGGAAAGGCCATTTCCCCTGTTCCTCCACCTCTTCCCAGAGTTCTACAGGCATAACTGTGAGGAGCAGGGCAGGGTAGGAGGAGCCCTGGCTGGCTGGAGAGCTGAAGACCACACACCCTCTTTCCAGGGCCCGGGCAACTGAGGTGAAGCCATGTGGCAGCTGCTTATTCCGCTGGCCCTGTGGCTGGATGCAGTGGGCTTGGGCAGGGCCGAGCTCACAGGGGTGCAGCGCAGGGCCCTACAGGTGGCCCTGGAGGAGTTCCACAAGCACCCACCTGTGCAGTGGGCTTTCCAGGAGACTGGTGTGGACAGCGCTGTGGACACGGTTAGTGGCATGGCCTTGGTCTGGCAGGGAGGTTGAGGGCTGCACCTCAGGGGGACCCGCACATCCCCAGGAAGCTTTCCAGAGAAAGGCCACCAGCCCAGGTCATATTCAGGAGCCTTGTTGCCCACTCAGCTACCCATTGAGCTTCCTGTCTGTCTGTCCACAGCCCTTCCCAGCGGGCACCTTTGTGAGGTTGGAATTTAAGCTCCAGCAGACAAACTGCCGGAAGAAGGACTGGAAGAAACCAGAGTGCAAAGCTAAGCCCGCTGGGGTGAGTGAAGATGTGTGTGTGGGGGGGCACAGATTGCACCCTTGTGTGGAACTGGGAGGTCCAGTGTGAAGCCCTGAAGACAGAGCCTTCCTAGAGGGGCAGGGCTCGGAGGGGTGGGTTGGAGAGGGAAGGATTATCCTCATCAGCACTCACATTGGAGTCTCTCAGTCATCAGTAGAAGCCCTGGTGTAGCTTGGCACCATGGTGGATTCATAGCAGGGTTTCACAGTAATCGGTCAACTCCTGGGCAAAGCCACTGTTGCTTGCCATCCCTGGTGGGGGGTGCTGTCTTCTGGTTCTGGCTCCTGTCTGGGAGGGAACACCAACCTTGGGCTGTATGGATTCTATAAAGGCCTCAGTTACCTTCATCTACTAAGAGGGGGGCATTATATCAGTGATTTTCAAACCTTTTGTTTGGCTTTAGGACACTTTTGTTCAAATCCAATCTTAAAAAAAATGTAAATAAACAGAATAGACAAAAAGCAAAGTGGTCTGGTGGAAGTCAGGTGGAAAGAACCCCTCTGCGGAGGATTCTTGCCTTTAGGCTCATTCACATGCCACACACCCATGTATGTAATTGCACATGCATGTGCACACATGCACATAGGCACACACTCATCTGGGAAGGATTCCTGTTTATATACATGTCAAATTTCCATAATTTGAAAACTGGGAAATCCCAGCAACTCAGAGGTTGCAGCAGGAGGATCGAAAGTTCAAGGGCAACCTCAGTAATTTAGAAAGACCATCAACAACTTAGTAGACCCTGTCTCAAAATGAAAAAGAAAAAGGACTGGGGATGTGACTCATTGGTAAAGCACCCCTCGGTTCTATCCCCAGTGGAAGGAAGGAAGGAAGGAAATGAGATTGACTTCTTAAAATATCCTGGGTCTGAAACCAGCATAATCTCTTGTCCCTTACTCTGGGACTTGACAGGGGAGCTGGTCTCCAGAGGACAGCTCCCAGCCTCCCCCCCACCACCGTGCTCCTGGTGCCCCATGCCCACCTCACCCTTTTTCTTTCTTCCCTCCATGCTTCCCTCCCCAGAGGAAGCGAAAATGCCTGGCCTGCATCAAACTGAACTCTGAAGATAAAGTTCTGGGCAGAATGGTTCACTGCCCTATACACACGCCAGGACGACAGGTAAGAGGCAAAGAGGTTGGGAAGGGGGCGGAAAGATGGGCTGAGGCTGGGTCTGAGGGAGAGCAGAGGAAGTTTGGATGAGAGGGAGGAGGGGCAAAAGGGTCTCGGGGCATAGTTTAGACATTTCCTAGGGGTATGAAGGTGCTGCCAGTACTACTGGCAGTTGCCTGAATTGTTGTTGGCACCGGCAGGAGCCCCAGGAACACCAGGAGACCCAGTGCAGCAGGGTGGAGCGGGCCGGCGAGGACCCTCACAGCTACTACTTCCCAGGACAATTTGCCTTCGTAAAGGCGCTGCCCCCCAGCTGAGCCCTGGACTGGTAGGCAGCCAGGGGGCAGGGATAGCCCTTGGGTTGGAGATGCTGCTGCTGGACTGTGGGAGAAGGGGAGGGGATGGATTAGAGCCTGGAAGGAAGCTGGCCCTCCCTCACCCACCAGAACCTCAGAGCGAACCTCAGAGCATCCGAACCTCAGAGCGTCCGTTGTTTGTAGAATTTCATCCCACTTCCTGCACAGCTGGGCTTGCTGCCTCGTGAAAGGCCTGCCCTCTTAGGCAGAAGATCTGCTCACATCCTGGGCTAATAAAACTGCTCTCAGACCCTGTTCCCTCTGCTCCTTATGTTGCCCCTGCCCTCGGATCAACCTATAGGAGGCCAGCAGAAAGAGGGCAAGCTGGGTGTGTGTGCACAGGCACACTGGCCCCTCCTGCTGGACACCTGGAAACCTAGACACCAGCGGCTCCGTGGAGCCTGTTGTGCAGGGCCAGAGGGGGAAAGAGCAGACTCACGGACACACAATAATGCAAATGGACACAGAGCCATTTAATAGAGTTGGTGGGTGAGAAAGGGGGAGGACTTGGGGAGGGCACAGGCCAGGAACCACAGAGGACAGTCATCTGGATAGGCAGATTCAGAAGGTGGGTGGGCTCCAGCTTTCAGGAATGTTCTGGCACTCTGCTCTGCCTGAAATAGCTGGGCTGCTCGCCCCTGCCTTTCTCACCAATAGCCTTGGGAAGAAGTATCCCGTCCACTAAGTCTCAGACTGGAGCAACCAGGAGTGGCCCCTTGCCTGATGCACAGTCTGTGTGCCACCTGCTGGAGGTCATTTAGGAGATGTGTCCCTCCCTGTTATATGTGAAGGGAGGGCAGGGAAGTTTTCATGGGGGGGGGGACTACCCTTGGGACAGGAATAAGTGTAGGCCCAGTTCCTAAGGCCAGTGACCAGCACAAGAAATCTCAAAGACAATGCAGAGGGAAAGGAGGTGTAAGCAGAGGGCCATCTGCTAGACTGTCCTGGGGTGATATTGGCAGGGAGCACTTTCAGAAAACAAAGGAAGAAGTAGTGCCCGCAGGACTGAGTGCCTGCTCGGCCCTGGCCAGGCTCTCACTGGCCTGGCGGTCCAGGTCGCGGCACTCTTGCAGTGTGTCTTGGAACTGCCGGCAGGCCTCCTCCAGGATGGAGCTGCTCCGGGTGGGCCACAGCTCCCAGTACCCAGGCTCCACCCAGGGCTGGGCTTCCGTGGCTCTGGGGCCTGGGCTGGAGCTGGGGCGCAAGGAGCTCTCCAGGTCACGGCACAGCTGGTAGAGCTCACTGCCACGCCCACTCACGCGCTCCCCATCGATGACCTTCAGGCCGGGCAGCAGCTCCCGGACCGCAGCCCAGTAAGAGGGGCTGGCACACAGAGGATTGCTGAGCCGGGCCAAAGGGTCCCGGAGCCGCAGGTACTCCAGGCCCCGTAGCCCAGACAGACACTGCAGCTGGCCAGGAGTGGCCAGCAGGTTGCCTGCAGCATTGAGACTCTGCAGGTTTTCGCAGGCGGCCAGTGGCTCCAGCCCGGTCAGGCGATTGTTGGACACATTGAGCACAGCCAGCTGGCGCAAGGAGGCCAGAGGGCCTAGCTGGGTAAGTGCGTTGCCTGAAAGGTCCAGCCACTCGATGCCCAGGCACTCCCCCAGGCAGCCCAGGTCGGCCAGCCCCAGGTCTCGCAGCTTCAGCAGCAGGATGGACTCCAGAGCAAACTCGCCTGTGCGGGACTTCAGCAGCTGGGGCGTGATGCGTGGCCCCTCAGCCTCTCCTGGCTGCTCACCTGGAGGTTCCATGGGACAGCTGGCTTGGATGATCTGGGCCTTGACAGGTCGTCACAGGGACATGGGCACCACTGAGTCCGCTGGCTGCTCACCCCCAAAAGGCACCCTCCACTCTCCTTGGGCCTGTTTTGATGCACACCTGGAGGGTGCGCAGGTCCCTAAGGAGAGACACACAATTAGGCACTTACTGTGACCTCTGCAGCAGGTGACAGAAGACACAAAGGCTGTCCCATCAGCCTTTACCACCAGAACCAACAAATCAACAGCCAAATAAGACCTAAAAGCCAAGGCCTGAAGACAGGCCATGACAGCCCAGCCTAAGGACAGCAGCCCCAGGTCACGCTGTGAGTTAGGGCCACACTGCACAGAATTCAGGCCCAATGTCACCTGTTCCATCCACTGGGGTAGGGCACAGTGGCCCATCCCTGTAATCACAGCTACTCAGGAGGCTGAGACAAGAGGGTCTCAAGTTCAAGGCCAATGTGGGCAACTTAGTGGGACCCTGTCTCAACAGAAAAAGGGATGCAACTTGTAGTAGAGTACATGCCTGGCATGCCTAGCAAAGCCTGCGCTTCCATCCCAGCACTGCCCCCCCCAAAAAAAAAAAATTGGACTGGGGGCAAAAATCTCAATTTTCTTTTTTCAGTAACCACTCATGATACATCATTATCAGTCATGAGGTATTCATTTTTTAAATGTCAAATTTATTTTTGACTAGATAATAGGAGGCCACCATCACCAGTTTCTTAGGTTTCCTTCCTGGGACAATGATGCACGTGGAAAACCAAATAAGCACACTGTACCTTGTTTCATTCACTTAAAATATTTCCTGAGACATTATTACCCTATATACATGCCTGTATATGTGTATGATCACACTACTGGTGTGGCTCTGCACCAGGTCCAGCCAGAGGAAGGAGAAGCTGTGCTCATTTGTGTACAATGTGTCAAAATGCATTCTACTGTCATGTGTAACTAATCAGAACAAATAATAAAATAAAATGTTAGGGCTTGGGTTGTAGCTCAATGGTAGAGCGCTTGCCTATCACGTGTGGGGCACTGAGTTTGATCCTCAGCACCACATATAAATAAAGATATTGTGTCCATCTATAACTAAAAATATATATATATTTTTAAATGGTATCTGAGCCAGGCACATGGCACATGCCTGTAATCCCAGTGACTTGGGAGGCTGAGGCATAAGTCAGTCTGGGCAACTTAGTGACACCCTTTCTCAAAAAGGGCTGGGGATAAAGCTCCATGGTAGAGTGACCCTGAGTTCAATCCCCAGTACAAAAAAAAGGGAAAGGGTTCCCAGATTTGGGGGCCAATTCCCCACCCTCTGGCTGGAGCTGCAGGGCCTGAGGAGTTGGCTTTTAATCCTAGATGAGGGCAAAAACTGAGGTCAAGGGAGGGGAGGTCCAGGGAAGCTGAGGTGAGCTAGGTATGGTTGCTCTCCACCCACTGCACCCCTGCCCACCCAAACCAGTTCTGACATCAACTGGTCAGATCAGCAGACCAGCACTGATCACTGTGCCAGACAGCCCAGTGCCAGCTGCAAAGATGACATCATTGCCCAAAAGGCAAGCTGGGGGAGGCCAGAGAGTCTTGGAACCAGTCTTGGAGGGAGGTATGGTGGGAGGGGTGGTCAACTAAGCTGGCAACAAACGGTGGGGGAGGGCACATTAAATCAGCAGTGACCATGGGACAGGGAGCCCAGGTACTCGTGCAGCATGAGGAAGGCAGCCTGGGGGCAGGGCCGATGGTGCTGCTGCCCACAAAGGGTCAAGGTTTAGGCAGAGAAGAAAACAAGAGCAGACCTCTGCTCTGCAAGTCAATCCCAACCCTCCAGACTCTTGGCAGGCCAAGGGCAGGTGACACCTGCAAAGGAGATCATGGCCCCTGCTGCTGAAGGACCTGGGGTGCAGGGCACTGGAATTCCCAAGTACACAGGATCAACACCACTGATTATGTCCCTCTCCAGGGAATCCGGGTCCAGAGCCCTGGCCATCAGCTCTTCCCACCCAACCAGCAAAGAGCTTTTTTTTTTTTTTTTTTTTTTGGTACCAGGGATTGATCTCAGGGCCATTCGACCACTGAGCCACATCCCCAGCCCTGTTTTGTATTTTAGAGATAAAATCTCACCTGAGTTGCTTAGACCTCACCATTGCTGAGGCTGGCTTTGAACTTGTGATCCTCCTGCCTCAGTCTCCAGCTGCTGGGATTACAGGCGTGTGCACCACCGCACCCCACCGCCACCACCGCACCCCACCGCCACCGCCGCACCCCACCGCCACCGCCGGCATAGCAAAAAGCTTTTTAAAGGACTCCCACCAGGGAGTCAGGAGACTGAATAGATCTTGTCCTCATTACACCTGTTCCTCACCTAGTCCCCCAGCCTGCAACACTCCAATCTGTTTTGTTGTTGTTTGAATTTCTAAATTCACACCTCATTTCTTTCCGAAAGGACTGGCAGTCATCCCTTGCAAGTGTGCATCCCCTCAACACGAGTGGGGTGGGGCATGTGAACAGGGGGTGATGCAGCCACTTGACATCTGAAGGAAATGGCCCTGGCCCATAGAGGGGGATGCAGGACAGCATCAGTGCATATGGTAGAAAAGAAACATGGAGACCCAACCCCAATGAAGATACAGAGTGACAGGGAGGGGAGAGGCCAGAACATTTGGCGATCTGACTAAGTGACTGGCAGGGGCCTCTCAGACAAGACATAGAGGGGACGCAACCGGAGAAGACCTCCAACGGGCTGGGTAGTGGAGCACTTGCCTAGCATATGCGAGATTTCAGCCCTCAGCACTGCAGGGGGAAGAAAACAGACTCCAGTTCCACACAGTGTGAGGGACCGGGTGGCCTCAGGCTGCACACACTAAGTGTGAGGGATGGTGTGGCCTCAGGCTCCAGAGGCAGCTGGATGAACGGCCTCAGGCGTTTTCAGTAGGAGGGGGCAGCCAGCGTAAAGGAGGGTGTGCAGTCCATGGGGCTAACCTTCAGGGGGACACTTGAAAGACCTCTGGGCATCTCTCCATGAAAGTGCACTGTCCTGGGATGGTGATTAGGAAGCCATGGTCAGTGAGAGGACAGAGGTCAAGGGCTACTTGAGTGAGGCTGGGAGGACAATGTGAGGCCTTAAAGGAGCGACAGCACAGTACTGGCCACACCTGCTGAACCTGGACAAGATGAGGCCGGACGTGGCTGGGGGCTGGGCAGTCGGTCTCAGGGGCGCTGGAACCAAGGCTGGCAGAGGGCTAAAGAGGGAGTCCCCTGAGGGACTGGGGCAAGGCCCTTTTCAAGGAGGACCGGCACTGAAGAAAGCGAGAGCCAGGGTAGAGGGAGATACCAGTGAGAAGGCCGACGTGCTCCATCACCACCTGAAAGCCGTGAGGCCATTTGCAGAGAGGAAAGTTATAGAAGAGGGAACGGCGAAGAAGAGAGGCCCAACTGGGTTAGGAATTTGGCCTTCCCTGCCCAAAAGTGCGCCTAGGTGAGACACATGCCTGCTAGAACCTAGCTCGGCCCCAGTGCCACCTCGTCTAGGCCTTAGCAGCTGGATATATGGCTGTGGTCAGAGCAAAACCGATTCTCATGGGGCCACAGAGTGCTATTGTGCTCCTGATCACGGACCAGGTGGCCCTCGGCAAACTCAGGACCATCAGTGCCCACCCATGCATGCAGTGGACACAGGTGCAGCAGAGAACGGCTCTGTCCACGCACAACTGCTCCAACCTGGCCTCTGCAAAGTGGCAGCCATCCTGTCCTGGTGACAGAAATGAACCATCCTCTGGGCCCAGCAGCAGGCAGTCTATAAGAGGATTGGGTGACATGGACACTCGGGTCTCCTGAGGAAGGCTGATGGTGAACAAGGGAAGATGAGCCCATTGCCCTACCAAGTCTCAGTTCATCTTTCTAGGAAACAGGACCAGAAAAAACAATGTTCATGGAGGGAGCTTGGACAGAACAGAGCCAAGTCTAAGGAGAAGTCCTTCAACCCTGAGCAGGCTCAGAAGTCACTCAGTGGCTTAAGTGACCTGGGAGCCTTCCTCCACCCATTTCCCTCTCCTAAGGCTCCACGGAGGCCTTCTTCACCTGGGTATTACCATTGCTCAGGGCAAGGTCTTTGCTGTGGGCCCTCAGGCATCGGCAGCAACCCTAGCCTCTGCCACTAGACACCAATAGAACCAGCCCCCTCCCCCAGATGTGACAACCATAACTGTCTCAGGACATTGCCAATGTCCCCCAGGAGACATAAATGCCCCCAGTGAGAAACAAGGTTCTGGAGTCCAAGCCTCTGAGCTCAGGACCACAGTGGTCCTCATCTTCTTCCTCCCACCCACCTCCTTCCTCCCCCCACTGTGCCCCCAGCCTGGCTTCTCCATCCTCTCTGAGGACACTGGGAGTCCGTTGAGTGCTGTCACACAAAACGAAGAATGGCAGTTCAGCTCAACCCGCTGTCCCTTAGGGCAACTTCAGGGGAAACCACCCTGCCCTGTCCACTGAACCAGGGTTTGCAGGGTGGGGGGGGGGTACGGGACTGCAGGCAGGGTTCTGGGAAGGTCTGGGGCATACCCCGCCCTCAAGAACAAAATACCCTGATTCCTAGCAGGGGACATTAAGAATATCCCTTTACAGCCACCACCCCTCCCTCAACAAGCCTTACCTCCTACGGGGAGCCTGGGAACACCCCCTTCCATAGGTCCCCATTGGAGTGCTATGGGCAGGAAGGACAGCCAGGGGATACGGAGGCCAATCTGGAATTCAAATCACGACACTCCAGCCATTAAATATGGTGTTCACAAAGCTTTATTTAAAGGATGCGATTGTTATAGCCAAAATGAAAATACTGCATATTAAACAGCTCATAGGGTATGACCTCAATATAAAAAAGGGACCATATCAAACCACTGAGATAGACTCTCTGAGTGACAAGATTATGGCTAACTTTCCCTGCTACCTTATATTTTCAATAATTTATTAATGTTACAGTGAAATAAGCTGATAATCTATCCAGGAAAGGCCACTGGACAGGCTTCCACAGCTGGCAGTCCAGCGAGGGGATGGTTTTGAGTGTGCACCTTTTTTCTTCCAACCCATCTTAGTGTCCACCTTGCCCAGAACTCTTCTGTCCAACCCCACTGGGTTCCTGGATCCCAATCCTCAGGTCCTATATTTGGTCCTACAAGAAGTCTGGGCAATCTGTTATTAGCGGGCTTCACACATACCTTTCTCTTTTAAATAAGGGATCTGCAGGACACAAGTGGCCAGGGAAGGGTGGAATGTAGACTCGGTCATGTATCAGCAAGAATGACCTGTTGAGGACTGGGGGAGCTCAGTTCTTGGTGCAAGCTGGTTAGTTCCACCCTCGGGAGTACTCTCTGGCCACTCTGGGATTCCCAAATCTGGTGCTTATTGTGCACATGCAGTGTAGGCACCTGCCTCCTGAGACAGCGACTCTACCTTGAGGTTCCTTCCTACAATGAAAGGAGCCTCAGGAGAGCTGCAGGAGTGTGTTAGTGTGTTTGTGTGTGTGTGTGTGTGTGTGTGTGAGATGCTGAATTCATACCCTACCTCTGGGCCCTGATAACTGTTTAGGAAAGCCTACCCACTTCTTTTTTCCAGAACTGAGGATTGGACTCAGGGATACTCTACCAATGAGCCATATCCCTAGCCCTTTTTTAATTTCGAGACAGGGTCTCACTAAGTAGCTGAGGCTGACCTCAAACTTGCAATCCTCCTGCCTCAGACTCCTGAGTCACTGGGATTACAGGTGTACATGACTGTGTCTGGCATGTTAGCCCTTCCATGCATACTGCTGAACATAACTGGATCAACACAGGCCTGGAAGATGACTTCAGAAAAGAATATAACAACCTGTCAAGAACCAAGAAGCTGTCCCCATCCTTACTGCACAGGCTTAAACAGATGTCCTCTGCCCTTTTCGGCTGCAGGGTTCCCTGAGGTTTTGAGGTCAGCAGACTACTGAGACACCTTCAAGCTCCTGAGCTCCTGGAACCTACTAGCACACACCCAAGTCTGCCCACCCCAGCACAGCAGATAGGCTATAGGGCCTGCTCCTGCTCAGCAGGGTCAGTACTGGAGCAGTTGAGGGGTGGTGGGGTGTAGTTGGGAAAGCTCTCCAGGTTGGTGTTGAGGAAGAGGAGCTGCTCCACAGTCTCCACTTTGAGCGGGGAGCCCTTTTCTGTGATGATGGGGCTGTTCAGGGCACCAAAGACACTTTCAGAGAAGGCTCTTGTGGGCGGGCAAGACAGATAGACTGTGGCCAGCTGGGCCAGGGCTGGCCAGGTTTTACGTTTCTTCTCCCAGTAATACAGTGGGTCCTCCTGAGCCCCGATGGTCTCGTTCTCTCGCAGGTACCGGCTGACAATGACGCTGGCTATGTGATTCTCAGTGGACAGCGAGGCCCCGCTGCTTTCTGAAGCCATCAGTCCCACGCTTTCCAGCTGCTCCAGCAAGGTCTTCTCCCTCTGGATGACCAGGAAAGAGCCAGACTCGCTGCTTTTCTGCAGAAGCTCCTTCTGGCCCTTCTTCTGGGGTCGCGGACCCTTGGCTACTTTGTTGGTGCTCACTCGAGAGCCCCTGGCGCGCTGCAGGGAGCCTGAGGTGGGCAGGGAATACTGGGAAACCATAATTTCCTTCACCTTGTACACAAGGACTTGTTTCCAGTGATCAATGTCAGCCCCTACGGGCAGGATGGCCTCAACCTTGCCCTTAAACCGGGGATCCAGCAACGTGGCCAGCACGAATTCCTCTCGGTAGAAGAGATCGTTGAGCTGACAATCTGTGGAAAGCTGCAAGGCCAAGCCCTCGGCCAGCCGCAAGGCCGCACCCACCTCCCCAACTCCCTGCTTCTGGAAGTGCCGATGCACCTGTTCTAGGAAGATGTGCAGATAGCGCACCTGGGGCAACACCTGGCTTAAAGAGGCCTGATCTGTGCTGGCCTCACGGATCACCATCTGGAAGGGCTGCAGGAGCTTGACCAGACTGTCTGCCAGGCTCCAAAACATGGCTGAGAGGGCAGTGCTGGCCTTGCCTGGCTGCTGTTTCTCCGAGTACTCCTGCAGGGCCTGCTGCTGCTCCACCAGCCACTCCATGAGGTGGTAGGCTGAGCTCCAGTGGTCTGAGAGCTCCTCGAAGGGCTGCTGGGCTGGGAGGCCACACTGGTGCTGGAGCTGGCTGAGGAGATTCCGGGCCTCTGCGGAGCCTTGGAAATGGCTGTAGATGGCCCTGGCTGTGCCCAGGATGATCTGGACGCTATGATGGTGACACAGAAAGTTGCTCACCACTGAGTCAAGGCAGTGGGCAAAACAAGGGATGAGGGTGTAGCCCTCAGCCTGCAGGGCCAGGTCCAGGGCAGGGCAGCCACCAGACACCAGGAAACCTGCTCTTAGGGAGCCACGGCCCAACCACAGGTTAATCTGATCCAGCAGCTCGGGCTGCCTGTCCTCTGTCGCTCTTTCCAGGCCTCGGATCCAGAGCAGGGCTTTCTTCCTCAGGCTCCCCGATGCCCCAAGCTTGCTGCCTGACTGTGCCACCACCCAGTGGGCACTGACGGCCATATAGTTCACCATGGAGTCGTGGGTCAACGTAGAGGCTGTGAGGTGAACATGGCCCTCCTCTGCCCACTGCATCTCCTGAAGCACTTGCTCACCCACAGCCTCGTGGAGCAGGGGCAAGGCTTTGTCGCAGAAGAATGCTGGGGAGGGCAGGTGGTAGCGAGGGTCCACTTGCGTCATGAACCTCTTAAAGGGTTTGGAGGAAACAAAGGAGAAGGGCAAGGCCAGGCTGCACAGCAGCTCTGTGATGCTGTGGTTCCAGGTCTCCGTGTGGGGTTGTTCGGGGGCATTTGTGTCATTAGGCCTGTCCTTGACTGCAACAGGGAAAGCAGGCAGGGGCGATGAGGACAAAAGTGGCTGGTCAGGTCCGTCCAGGTCTGGCTCTCTGCCACGTTGTCCCAAGAACACAGTGTCTGGGTGGTGTATGGGCACCAGTTGTCCCCTTGAGGCAAAACTGGCAGCATCCACGGGCAAGGCCTGTAGCTGTGCCTGTTCCATGTCCTCTACCCCCTTGCCAGGGCTGCTGGTAGCTAGCCCTCTCTCCCACTCTAGCCCATGCTGGCTGGCCAGGTGATGGACGAGGCCTGAGGCTTGGGACTGCCCCTCAGTTTTGCACAGTCTGACACTGACGTGACACAAGGTACAGAGGACTCGGCAGCTGTTCTTTAAATCAATGGTGAAGAACTGTCTGATGTCGGACACGGCTGTCAGACCTGTGGCACGCAGAAGGCCTGCGGAATGCGGGGAAGAATTCAAGCCCTGATTTTCTGTTTTCTTAGCTTTAACCAACTTTTTCAAGCAGGGGGTCTCCTGAAGGTTCAGCTGGGGCCCCAACTTCTTCTTTACTGCAGAATGAGAACGCTTTTTCTTCCCCTTCTTGGGGTGTTGCCTCGCCTCTCTGGCCAGATGCACAGTGAGGTCAGCTGGCACCGCCTCCTCATTCTCTCTCGATTGGTTTGCCTCCAACCTTTCAGGACTGGTCATTTGCAGGGAGGGGGGTTGGGGCTGAATCAGGGCTGGGGTAGAGGGGGCAGCTCTAGCACCACCCAACAAGGACCTAGCCTTCCGTCCTGCCGGCTCTCCTTCCTCTGTGCACCCACATGCCTTCCGCTTGGACACCTTCCTCTTCTCGGGCTGTGTGTGAGGCTCCTGCCCAGGCACAAGTCTGAGGCCCTGAATTCCAGAGTTTGTCTTTGGTTTATTCTGCTCAGAGCTGGCCTGGCACTTTGCCTGGGAAGTGGCGGGGTGAAGACCAGGCCTCCTCATGGGGTGGGTTTTCCTCTTCCCACAGGAGGAAGGTAGGCCAAAGGCAGTTTCTACCTGCTTCTCCTGGAAAACTTGGCCCGAGTCAGATGAAGGGACCAATGTACCACTGGGTGGGGGCCAGGAGCTGCTCCTCTGCAGAGACAAGTGCCTTTCACGTTTCTTTTGGGAGCCCAGGGATCCGACTTTCCTCCTGTGGCCACTGCCAGCATTTTCTTCGCTGCACGGAAACTCCAGTTTGACTTCAGTCTGTGGCAGGCCAAGTCCACGAGAGATATTGGTGGCTGTGGTTTTGAAGTCAGAGCTGGGACAAGCCAAGGTGGCAGCTGGGCTCTTGGGTCTGGCCACAGGGCAGCTGGCACACACAGAGGGCTCCTTTCCCACCAATCTGGAGGGGATCTGCCTCTTGCGGGCCTTTTTGCTTTTCTCCATTTCTATTATGCTTGGGAACTTGGCGAAATGAGAAGACAGGCCCAGGCTGCAAGGCAAGATGAAAAGCACGGTTCTCACTGTCCCCACCTAACTCTGGGGACCACTGAGGGGAAGGGGAGGCCCAGACAGGACAGGAGAAAGAAGGTCAAGAGACAAGTGGCGAGGCACAGCAAGAGAGTGAACTCAGGCCCAGGACCAACTCCCCAGGCCACGAACTCCCAGGTGAAGAGCAACTTTCACTCCTCTAGCCAGACAGGGCACTCGGGAGGCTGGTCCCCACGGCTCTCTGCACATTACAGGCTTCTATGTGCATCTTCTTTGCCAAACTGATGGACTTTCCCCTTTTTTCTTTCAATGTCTGAGAACACAGGAGGCACGTGATTTTTCTTTTCTTTATATTTTAGTTGTAGTTAGACACAATAAATCCATTTTATTTATTTTTATGTGGTGCTGAGGATCAAACCCAGGGCCTTGCACATGCTAGGCGAGCACTCTACCACTGAGCCACAAGCCCAGCCCCACGTGGTGATTTTTCTATGGGGTGTAGTAGATACCAAGTAAAGTAGACAAGAGCCCCATGTTGACTCACACGTGCAGAAGGCAAGAAGAAGTTCCACGTGGTCTGTGCGACCCACGGAAGGGAATGACCTCACCAGCAAGTCCTGGCAGTTTTCCCAGGGGGGAGACTAGTAAAAGGGAGAGGGGCTCCCAAGCTGTGTCTTGAAAACCTGGGCAGCAGGAGGGCACAGTAAATGTACAATGTGGCTCAAAATTGGTTAAAAAAAAAAACAAAAAAGGCAGCCTGGGGTCCTGAGCCAGAGGTGTTGCTGGTCAGCCTCCTGCAGAGAACACAGATGGAGCATCCCTAGTGCCCTCTCTTTCCTGTCACAGACAAACCTCCAGGAGGGCTATTTTCTCACCCCCCATTCCTGTCAATACCTGCTCCTCTAGGGGTCTTGCCCCTAACTCAGTGGCTTTTCCGCCACCCCCCACCCCAACTTCCTCCTCTTGAAATGCCCTTTCCCCTCAGGCAGGAACACATTGTCTTGGTTTTCCTCCCACCTCAGGTGCCTCTTCCTCTGGGTGTCCCCCGAGTGATGATCCTCAGGCTGCCTCTCTGGGCCCACCTGCACCCAGGCTGCTCTGCTCTGCACCCAGGTCTGTCTGGGGATCAGGGTTCTCTCTTAAGCTCCCCTCGCCTGCTCTCCCTGCGTGCCACTCCGCCTTGGTTAACGGGACACCCTGCCACCCATACCTGGGTGTGATCTTCAATTCACTTTCCCGGGTGTGAGGTTGAGTTCAGGACTGGGAAAGGGACAAGACCCTCAGAAGTCAGGAGACACAGGAAGAGAGAAGAAAAGAAGACGGTAGAGGAGGAAGAGCCCAGGGGGCCAGGATGCACGTCCTGGTGATGGAGAAGACTCCGAGGAAGGCGACTTAGACACCCACCCACAGCACCCGAAGCCAGCAGAGAAGATCAAGAGGAGATCAAGAGGGAAGACGGAGAACCCAGACACCTTGACACCGAGTGCTGTCCAATATTACAGATCCCCGGAGACGGCAGGTCTGTACTTCCCAGGTGTCAAGCCACCCGGCTCTGAGTCTCTGTCAGGAGATGATCCTTCCAGATGGCAGTCTCCAAGGCTAAAGCAGCAGCACCCTCAAGCTTATTTCACAGAACTCAGTCATCCACCCAGACATCAGATGAACAAAGGCCCGCGTGAGGTGCCCCATGGGAGGCTGGATAACATCGGGAATGACATTCCAGATACTGTCTTGGACCCAGAGGGCTGCTTCCACATGTGAGCACTGGAAGGGACTTACCTCAGCTCGTGCTTCCTGACTGGAGAATGCAACCCAGACTGTGAGTTCAAACCTCCAGAAGGAGTCTGTAGGCTATATCACCATCAATGAGGACACAGGGCACTAAAACCAGGCCACGGTAGACAACCTGGTAGAAATGGGAAACACCTGTCTGTTAAGAGCTATAGCCCAGGGGCACACCCCAAAACCTTCACCCAAGATCCACTCGTGTACCTCAGGGTACCGATCCTGTTGCTTCCCAATTAGCTTTGTCCTATTCGGATGCTATACTCAGTGTATTCAACCTTTTAACAAAGATTCATGAAATACTCACTACGAGCCAGCATTAAGCCCTCAAGATAAAAATATGGCTGGGTGCAGTGGTACATACCTGTTATCCCAGTGACTTAGGAGGCTGAAGCAGGAGAATTCCAAGTTGAAATCAGCTTCAGCAACTTTGCAAAGCCCTGAGCAACTTAGCATGACCCTGTCTCAAAGTAAAAAATAAAAAGGGCTGAGGATGTGACTCAGTGGTAAACTGCCCCTGGGCTCAATCCCCAGTACCAAAACACAAATATAGGAGAATAACTGCCCTGGGGCATTTGGGGTGAGAAACCAGTTCCAGTCTCTTAAATCAAATGGAGTAGCATTTGTATATGATCTACACACATCATCTCACATTCTTTAATCATCTCCGATTACCTATAATACTTGGTATATGTAAATGCTATGTAAATAATTGCTAAGCCCTATTGTTTGGAACTAATTTTAAGAAAAA